GGTTTATTCTCTTACAGTTTGGAGGCTTTAAGTCTAAGTTCAAAGTGCCAGGCTCTAGGGGCTGGGTTAAAGCCCCTCAAACTTAGGCTTCAGCTCTGCCTCCTGTTCCCGGCACACTGGACCTAGAGGCTTTTCTTCACTCAGACAGCTAGCTGCTGGCTGCTGAGACTGACAAGCTCAAGGTTGGCAAGTAAAAAGGCACAGTCCCAATGTCACCAAACCACACAGCAGGCCATTAATTCAAGTCCACTGGAAGTCCCAAGGTCAGTAGAGCATGGCAAGCTGCTGAACAACAACATGGCTAGATGCAGGGTTCAAAAGTGCCATAAACTAGAGACCATTCCCCAAGATTTCTCCTTATATACAGGAAGCAGACCACATCCCTAAAGCAGCTACTCAGCTGCTCACAGTAGATTCCACCATGAAGTTGATTAACAGTCTCATCATGGAGAATACTACATCCAGCGCCTGGACACTCAACCAGGCCCAGCCAAGTTGACACACAAACATAACTACCACAACCCACAAATATATACAGGTTTGACAAAGGATATTTCTATGTATATATTTATATGTGCTACAAATACATCCATGAATATAGTATAGCATACAGGGAGTAAGACTATGAAAACTTCTTAGCCATAAACAAACACCTTGTGGTAATGAATCACTGGGTTTGGAGGCTCAGGACCATAGTCTCAGGGGCCATCAAGGTCAATGACATAACATAGTCCAAAGAGACAATATTCTACATCCTACTTTGATAAGTAACTACTGGGGTTGTAACCACTCTCCACTTGAGAGCAGCCATCTAAGGTGCAACTGTTGGTCTGTCCTCATCTGGAGTAAAGAACTATGAACAAAATCAGAGATGCAAGGGAACAATTATTGAACAATAATTGAATTTGGAATTATTATTTCAAAGGACTAATGGACTATAGGAGCTCTGGTAGCATAGTGGCTAAAAGCACTTGACTGCTAACCAGAAGGCTGGTGGTTCAAACCCACCAGCCACTCCTCGGAAGGAAGGTTGGGCAATCCTACTTCTGTAGTGATACTGCCTCGGAAACCCAAGGAGGGGTCGCTATGAGTCGGGGCCGACTCGACAGCACATAACAACAACAACAACAATGGACTATGGGAACACCATCCTCCATGACTATGAGACCAGAAGAACTAGATGGTGCCGGCTACCACTGCTGATTGCTCTGAAAGTGATCACAGTAGTAGGTCCTGGATGAAAAATGTGGAACAAAACTGAAAATCATAATAAATACCAGGCTTACTGATCTGATAGAGACTGGTGGAACCCCTGAACCTATGGCTCTTAGTCACCATTCAGGGGTGGAACTGAACTTCCATGGCTCAACTTTCAACCAAATGATAGGTCGATAAGGTGAACAATAATATAGGGAGGTATGCACTTCTTAGAACAATCAACCATACAAAATCAAAAAGGCAGCATTTGCCCAGGGATAAAGTTCAGAGGTAGGAAGGGATAGAAAAAAGGAAGAATGTATATGGTAAATACAAGGAGGAAAAGGGAAGAGTACTTTTACACTGAGAGGACTGCAATCAATGTCACAAAACAAAATGCGTATGAATGTTGAATGAAAGATCAATTTTCTCTGTAAACTTTCACTTAAATCACAATAAAAAGTTGAAAAAAATCACAAGGAGACAAGTAAATAAAATTATTTTGTATCTCAAAAATAATAACAAATTGTTTGAAAGCAAAGATGTCACTGAAAACTAAGGTGTGCCTGAGCCAAGCCATGGTATTTTCAAATACCTCATATGTATGCAAGGGCTAGATAACAAATAAGGAACACTGAAAAAGAATTGATTCTTTGAATTATAGTGTTGGCAAAGAATACTGAATATACTGTGAACTGCCAGAAGAATTAACAAATCTGTCTTGGAAGAAGTACAATCAGAATGTTCCTTTGAAGGGAGGATGGTGAGACTTTGTTTTACATACTTTGGATATGTTATTAAGAAGGACCAGTCCCTGGAGAAGGATATCATGCTTGGTAAAGTGAGGATCAGCAAAAAAGAGGAAGACCCTCAATGAGATGGATTGACACAGTGGCTACAAGAACAGGTTCCAACATAGCAATGATTGTGAGGATGGTGCAAGACCGAACAGTGTTTCCTTCTGTTATATAAAGGGTCACTATGAGTCAGAACTGACTCAACAGCACCTAATAACAAGAACAGTTTGGAGGAAAGATGATGGAATAGAGGTATGTTTATATTCTGGGAATGGTTCATTAGGATATTATAATGTCAAGTTGGTCTCTCCTGGAGTTTTTTGAAGACTACCTCATATGCTTGTTAGTGGTTGGCCTACAGAGGCTGAGTCCTGTGTAGGTAAAGACCTAGAAATGCTAGTAGTGATAGACCTCATACGCTTGTTGGAAATATCAGCAGCCTCCAGGGAGGTCCAGCAGGCTTCCTGCAGGAGTTTGGATTGATTGACTTCCTAGGGGAAACCTAGCCCAGATAAATGTTCTAAAGGACATTTGCAGTGACTAGACAGTAGTATCCTCCAGTAGATGATTGGTCTAAGGCCTAGCAAAGTGCTATGACTCAGCAGGAGTAAACGACTGTTGAATGAATAGATAGATAAAGTAGTTCTATACAATAATACTGAATTATTTTATACTGTTCAAGGAAAGTTTTAGCTCACAAACATTCAGAAGCCCTTGTATTTACAGTATGTGTTGAATAACTAGACAGCTGGGTTGACTATATACACAGTCAGTTTTCAAGTGCTGGGATTCCATTCTAGTCTGCCTCAAAAGGCAGCAGCAGGTAGGATGACTAAAATTCTAGTGACTGATTTGAATCCATCTTTTATTACATAGATGTTACATTGAAGAAATTATATGTGAGCATGCATTATTTCCGAGGTGGTATCACTACGGAAGTAGATTGCCCAATCTTCTTTCCAAGGAGTGGCTGGTGGATTTGAACCATGAGCCTTCTGGTTAGCAGTCAAATGCCTTAGGCACTATGCTACCAGAGCTCCTCATTATTTAAGCAGAAAACTGAATTCTCTGAGAGACTAGAACCAAACTGTTTCTGTAGAGTCAATTCCAACTCAACCTATAGGACAGACTAGAACTTCCCCCATATGGTTTTCAAGGCTGTAAAGTTTTGCAAAAGTAGACTACCATTATCTTTCTTCCATAGAGTGGTTGGTAGGATCAAACCACAGATCTTTCACTTCACAGCTAAGTGCTTAATCACTGTACCACTAGGGTACTTTCTGAATTCTACAAAGGAATCTCATTCGCTAAATTAAAAATCAAAACAAAAAAGACAGCCAAATTTTGAGATCCAAAGGATTAGAGGTGCAGAAGTAATATTTGCAAAGTCCTCAGTAAACAGCTTTTCCATTTGTTCTGCCAACAGCAAATTAGAGGATATGTTTGCTGCCTGTTAAACCTCAGCATGATTGCTTAGATACATCCAGGGTCCCAGAAACCAGAATTGAGAGTAAGAGTAAAATTTGTCTGTACATTTCAATGAATAATTGCAGAGGGGGAAAAAAATAAAAAAAGTTTTCACAATTCCCCTCAAAATGTGATGGTGGCTCATCAATTAATTCTTCAAGGAAATGTGGCTTTAAAAAAATAAAAAAACTTTCTTATGTTCAGAGGACTCTATCTGCTGAAACTTCCCACTGAAAACCAGATAGCAAAAAGTAATGGAAAAGCCAGCTCTTGCTGGAATGGTAATGAAGGCAGTGAGAGGCCAGGTGCCTACCTTCTCACAGCAGGTGCTGTGAGAGATGAGAAGGCAACCTGTACACAGGCCACATGAATCAAAGGCCACAAAAATGATATGGTCAATCTAGTGCTGACTGTCATGAATAATGCTTTCTTCAAGGACTTCCCTCTGCCATTGGAGTTCAGTTCTTGGAGCCTGGTTCAAAGCTTGGAGTCATAGCGACTTCGGTGCTGACAGGCACTCAAAAAAGAGCTGCCCTGTCACCTGGCCTGTCTACCCACCCATCAGCCAGCTTCTGGCTAAAACTCATCTGGCATTGTTGTTGTTAAGTGCCATCAAGTCGATTTTCTACTCATAGCTGTCTCATGTGATGAAGTAGAATTTCTCCATAAGGTTTCAAGGATGTAATCTCTCTGGTAGCAGATCCTCAGGTCTCTCTCATGTGGAGCTCCTAGATGAATTCAAACTGCCAACCTTTCAGTTAACAGCCAAGCACTTAAACTTTGTGCCACTAGGGCAACTTATCTGATAGTAGTAGGAGCTCTGGTGGCATAGTGGATGAGGCATTTGGTTGCTAACCAGAAGGTTGGTTGTTCAAATCTACCAGCTGCTCCACAGAAGGAAGATGAGGCAGTATACCTCTGTAAAGATTTACAGCCTTGGGAACTCAGTGGGAGGTTAGTATTCACTCACTGCCATCCAGTCGATTCCAACTCATAGTGACCTCCTTTGGGTTTCCAAGGTGGTTAACCTTTATGGAAGTAGATTGCCCAGTCTTCCTTCCATGGAGTGGCTGGAGGGTTTGAACTACCAACCTCCTGGTTAGCAGTCAAATGCCTTAAGCACAGTAGTAAGCAAAATAAAACAAAACCAGTTGCCACCATATTAATTCCAACTATGGCAACTCCATGTATGTCAGAGCAGAATGGCACTCCACAAGATTTTCAAAGGCTGTGAACTTTTGGAAGTGGATGGTCAGACTTTTCTTCTGAGGAGCCTCTTGATGAATTCAAACTGCCAACATTTTGGTAAGTCGCCAAGAACGTAACTGTTTGCATCACCTGGGGACTCCTAGTAGTAAACCATTACATTTCTATTGTTAGAATTTTAAACTATGTCATTTAACATCCCATAACTAAAAACCACAAATACTTACCTCTCTCAGAAGTCCTTGAATATTTCAGGAATAAATAAGTGACCCAAATAAGGTTGTGAGTCTGTATCACAGAAGCAGAGCCAGTTAGAAATTTTGCCATTCTTACCTGGCTCTTTGAAGTGTTAAAGTACTGCCTGGTGAAAGCCAAGATATCTTCGGTTTCATTCTCTGAAAGGAAATAGGAGTCTTCATCCTGCCTGAGGCTGAGTAGGCTGTGTAGGTAAAATTTATACTCTTTATTACTCATGTTGAGCTTTGAAGAGCAGATCTCTTCCTGATGAATAATGTAATAGAGGAGGAGAAGAGAAACTTTCTGGAACACTTCCTCTCTGAGCTGATCTTCAAAATCTCCTCCAGCTATTAGTAACAGAGCATCTGGTTCAAAGCACTGTTCAAAAAAAACCAGTGAAGAAAGTTTAGCAAATAATGCCAGAACCCTAACAACCTCTGAGTCTCCACTGTCTATTATTTCATAAATAGTGAGGAAAATGTACATAGGCTCAATAGCCAAATTCAAATAAGACAGTTGTACTTGGACTTTTACATAATGATGGTGCCCTCTTAAACCCACTGTCATTGAGTCAAGTCCAACTCATAGCAACCCTATAGAACAGAATAGAACTTCCTCACAGTGTTTCCAAGGCTGTAAATCTTTATAGAAGCAGACTGCCTTGTCTTTCTACCATGGAGTGGCTGGTGGGTTCAAGCTGCAGATCTTTTGGTTAGCAGAGGAATACTTTCTTTACTACACAACCAGAGCTCTTGGTGCCCTCTTCTAAAAAAGAAAATCAGTGCAATCAAGTTGATTCCTAGTCATAGTAACTCATTGGGTTTCCAAGGTGGTATATCTTTATGGAAGTAGATTATCTCATCTTCCTTCTTCAGGGCAGCTGGTGGGTTTGAACTGCCAACTTTCTTGTTAACAATCACATGCCTTAGGGCACTGCACCACCTGCCCTCCTAGAGATCCCTTTTTCCCTAAGAGTGGTCCCTCTTTCTCCAGTTACAGTGGCCACAAGTTGTCCATTTGCTGCCATGAGTAAAATCAGTGAGCCTTTGGCTCTTAAACTGATGCCCCATGACATTTAGCATAACATTCAAATTCCTTACATTTTCTTCCACTGTCTAGCTCCTGTTTATCCTACTTCTCACTAAACTTCTACCCCTGTGATTTTCTGTCAATTCCACCAAACTCTTTCCCACCATCCTGCAGGTCTCCTTGTTGCTCTCATCTCTCAGGTCTGTTTGAAGCTTCATCTCCTCAAGGAAGCCTTCCTGAACACCCTGTCCAAAGCACAGCAAGTACTGTCCAATAGAAATATAACATAGCCCACAGATGTGAGCCACTTCTGTCATGTTTAATTTTCTAATAGCCACATGGAGTCCCTGGGTGATACAAACTGTTAACACGCTTGGCTCCTAACTGAAAGGAAGGAAATTCGAGTTTATCCAGAAGTGCCTCAGAAGAAAGGCCTGATGATCTACTTCTGAAAGATCAACCATTGAAAACCTTTTGGAGTATAGCTCTGTTCTGACACGCATGTAGTCACTAGAACTCAATTCAACAGTAACTGGTTAATGTTGTTGTTGTTGTTAAGTGCCGTCGAGTCGTTTCCGACTCATAGCGACCCCATGCACAGCAGAACGAAACACTGCCCGATCCCGC